ATTTTCATTCTACCCCCCATCACCAACCTCTTCTATATTGTCCTCCTCACCACCCAATTCACCGTCTACTCTTGATTTTTCAGCTAACAAATAAATGGCCTCGTAGTTCAAATTAAAACCAGGCAAATCTCCGCCTACATCCTCGTTATCCCCTTCCTTGGAACCAACTCCAACGGTTTTTCTACATAAGAAACCCTTAAATCGGCCTCGAACCTATCGCCATATCAATCAAAATAAGTTCACACTTTCATCCGACTTATAACAGCAAGGTACCTTATAATTTTCAGGAGCTCTGCTTAAAACATACTTCACAACTATATCACTATGCGAGCAACTCAATTACCTACTCAATTACCTCTTCTAATTATTTCATCAATCAACTCATCAAAACTAACCTCTGTGCTCACAGCAATTGGTATACTTCTTTGCTCTTCCCAATCCACTTCCACTACTTTCTTCCTCCACCCACTCACCAAAATTCAACACCCAAACAACTTTTCCCATGTATAATAAGCCAACTACCTATAATGCAAGAAAACAATTCTTAAATGTTGTACTAAGGGTTCAAATATTTTAAAAAGAATCTGCACATTCGCATATTTGGTCTGATGTATCTCTTGAACGATCATGGTTATTTATACTGGATCGCTAAGCGATACACTTGATCGCTTAACAATCCATATAATACCATGATCGCTTAAGCGATCTTATGCCATTTACTGATCGCTTAAGCGATCTGCTCCCATACAATAGACTTTAACCAGATCACTTAAGCGATCTTATGCCACATACCATCGCTTAACGACTATGTGCTGCATCCCAGACCTACCAGATCGCTTAAGCGATACACCAGATCGCTTAAGCGATCCCTCGTCCAACACATTTCAGTCATCTCCACCTACAATCGACATCATACCCAGAATAAATACCAGAACAAATTTTCAACAAATTTCACTCCTTTCAACTTGCATTACATCAGACATAACCCAACAACCTAAACAACTAAATCAAAATCATAACCCAAACCCCATCCATTATTAAATCTTTGTAAATCTAAATATAAAATGTAAAAAGGAGATACACATACTTAAACAAATGTCAGAGGAGAAGAGGGGGATCTTTGTCGGAGAAGATGTTAATGGTGGAGGAAGGAGAAAGTGTTAATGGCGGAGGAACAAGAAATATAGAGGAATAGGAAGAAAGATGACAGGAAGGAGGAAGAAGAAAAGGCAGAGGAAGAAGAAGATGTTGACGAAGCCAAGAAGAAGAGAAGATACAGAGGTGAGATGCGTTAATGGCGGGAGGAAGAAGAAGGTTTTTGGGTTTATTTGCAACAATTTCGGGTTTGTGGAAATTTAGATAATTTTGAAAAGATTACATACTCCTATTACACTTAATTACCCTTAATCAATAATATGGCTATTTAGTTAACATTTTAAAACTTGATAGCCTTTTAATTAAATGTAAACTTCAAATGTCTTTTTAATAAACTCCCCCCTTCATCAGCAGCAAAACCAAGTAAACAGTTTGAACAGGCTGAAAGCCTCCTGCCTTCAACTTCCAAATCGCCTTTAAGTATTGCATCCCAACGCACTTCATGTCCTGGGACCTTTTGGCGAAGATATTTCCCTCCAAATCCGGGTGGGCCCTGAAAGGGTGGTAGGACCATTTTTCCGGCTCAGACGAAATGACGTCGGTGTGTGAGTAGAGGATGATGGAGGGTAGGTGAGGGTTGGAGCCGGGCCATTTGAGAAGAATGATCGGTTTGTTTTTAGCGAGTTCGAAGGTCTGGGATTCTAAAGAGAGGGATTGGGCTTGTGACGGGAGGAAGAGAAAATTTAGTTGCCGGGCCATCCCAAGTTTCTATTTAACAAAATAGCCATGAAAATCTTTTTGATTTCTTTTGGGTTAAAAAATATGACGTTTGTAATTAAAACAGAAAAAAAGATTAGGGTGAAAACATTTAAACATTTATGGGTTAGAGTATAATAAAGAGAAGTTGATTTAAAATTTGAAAGGCAAAACGCATTTGTCTCAGCTTCTCTTTCTCACAACAGGATTCAAACACCTTTCTCTCTCTCGTTTGTTCTTCCAATTTTCTACAATTTCTCAATTTCTTTACTCTTTGCATTTTTGTCATTCCTTGTCATTCCTGATTAAGTTATAATGGCTGAGATCCTTAAAGAAACAGAAAAAAAAAACCCATTTACTCCCCAAATTGTGGGCACCACTAGGTCTACCAAAAATGGAGAAGAAGAAGTTGTGGTGGAGTAACTTCCGATGATCGAAGTTGCTCCACCGGGAGAGGAGAAGGCGTCAACGGAAGACTTTTTACTGGCAGAACAAGAGAGGGCAAGAGTTGAAATTGAAACTGAAGAGGAGGATGCCGATGCAAATTCCAAGCGTCGGACATGATCGCTTAAGTGATCTAAAATCGCTTAAGCGACCAAGAGTAAAAGCAAAGAATCGCTTAAGCGATACCTAAATCGCTTAAGCGATCATGCATCTGAGCACAAGTTAATTTTGCCTCGGACATGATCGCTTAAGCGACCAAGGTTAAAAGCAAAGGATCGCTTAAGCGATATAATAAATCGCTTAAGTGATCATGCGTCTGGGCACTTATTGATTGTCTTGTTCGTGATTGCTTAAGCGATCGTAGATTGCCTAAGCGATCGAAGATTGCTTAAGCGACCAACAGTAAAAGCGAAGAATCACTTAAACGATATCTAGATCACTTAAACGATCGTGCATCTGGGCAGAAGTTGATTCTGCCTCGGACATGATCACTTAAGTGATAAATCACTTAAAGCGACCAACGTTAAAAGCAAAGGATCGCTTAAGCGATCATGCGTCTGGGCACTTATTTATTGTCTTGTTCATGATCGCTTAAGCGATAGATTGCTTAAGCGACCAACAGTAAAAGCGAAGAATCGCTTAAGCGATACTTAAGCGATCCTGCGTGTGGACACTTATTTATCGTCTTGCTCATGATCGCTTAAGCAACCAATAGTAAAAGCGAAGAATCGCTTAAGCGATACACTTAATCGCTTAAGCAATTATGCATCTAGGCAGAAGTTTATTCTACCTCGGACATGATCGCTATAATCGCTTAAACAGCCAAGGTTAAAAGCAAAGGATCGCTTAAGCGATAGAATAAATCACTTAAGCGATCATACGTCTGGACACTTATTGATTCTGTCTTGTTCGTGATCACTTAAACGATCTATGATCGCTTAAGCGACCAAGTGTAAAAGCGTCAAATCGCTTAAGCCATAACATAAATACAACCAGATCTCTTAACCGACTAAGTCTAAATACACAGGATCGCTTAAGCGGGAAATGAAATCTCTTAAGCGATCCAGTGCATTTGGATTCTTTTTATTGTATTTCACTAGATTGGTTAAGTGATTAAAGCTATCTTAAACATATAAGGTGTACGATTCATTCAGTGGACCATAACTATTATTATATTTTAATTAAATTAGTTCTTTTACGGCTATATTAAACATATATAGTATAGAATATTTACATCTATATTAAACATATCAGGTGTGCAATTCGTTCAGTGGACCATGGCCGTTATTATATTTTAATTAAATTAGTTATTTTATAGCTATATTAAACATATATGATGTAGAATGTTTACGTCTATATTAAACATATCAGGTGTACAGTTTGTTCAGTGGACGATGACCGTTATTATATTTTAATTAAATTAGTTTTTTTACAGCTATATTAAACATATGTCCATAAACATGGAAGAGAAATATTGAAGTAAATTACCCTTAACCGCTTAAGCGATCCGGTCTATTTAGCCTTGGTCTATAGAGTGCAGAGCAGATGGTTGCAGAGTTCAATTTTATATCAATATTATATTTTTTTTTTATTGCTTTCTTGCCAAGAACTAACAAAAATAATAGAATAACAATAGATTTTTCAGTTTTATGTACAGTGCTGATTGACAAAGACCGAAGTGTTCTTTTCACATTCTATTGAAATGAAAAAAATAATTAATAATAATAAATAATTAATAAAAAAAGACTAAATATTAAATAAACATTATGGAATGTAATTTCTCATCGAAGTATATCGCTTACTGCATTGCTTAAGCGATCCAGTACAAATAAGCATGATCGCTTAAGCGATCTGCTGTCATATATCTAATCACTTAAGCGATCTGCTGTCATATATCTGATCGCTTAAGTGATCTGCTGCCATATACTAGACTTATACCAGATTGCTTAAGCGATCTTCTGTCATATACCAAATCGCTTAAACGATCTTGTACCATATACCAGACTTATACCAGATCGCTTACGCAATATATCAGATCGCTTAAGTGATCCATCATATCCAAAACACATTTTTAGCCATCTCCACCTACAATCGGTGCTATCACCCCTAGCTACTCACAATGCAAGAAAATATTCAAAAAATTTCACTCCTTTCAACTTGCATTACATCAAACACAACCTAAACAACTAAATCAAAATCATAACTCAAACCCCATCCATTATTAAATCTTTGTAAATCTAAATATAAAATGTAAAGAGGAGATACACATACTCAGATGAAATGTCAGGAGGAGGAGGAGGGGGATCTTTGGCGGAGAAGATGTTAATGGTGGAGGAAGAAGAAAGTGTTAATGGCGAAGGAACAAGAAGATATAGAGGAATGAGGAAGAAGAAGATGTAGAGGAATGAGGAAGAAGAAGACGTAGATGAAGAAGAAGATGTAGACGAAGCTAAGAAGAAACAGCAACCAAGGTAGAGATGCGTTAATGGCGGGAGGAAGAAGAAGGTGTTTGGGTTTGTTTACAAGAATTTCAGGTTTTTGGGAATATAGCATACGTTTTAAAAGATTACATAATACTTCATTAATCCTAATTAAGCACTAATCAAGTTTAATTACCCTTAATCAATAATAAGGCTATTTAGTTAACACTTTAAAACTTCATAGCCTTTGAATTAAATTTAAACTTGAGATGGCCTTTTAATAACATGCCCCCTGGAGGAAGGCGGTGGCTTTCTTGTAGTCAGGAGATGGTTGAGAGGTGTTGATTTGGAGATATTCTTGGAATCTTGAGATAATAGCCGATGAAGGAGAAAATTTGGCTGCCCGACCATCCCAAGTTTCGATTTAAGAAAATGGCCTTGAAACTATTTTTCATTTTTTTTAATTTAGAGAAGATGACATGGCATAGTTAGGATTAATTAAACACGTAAAAGGGGTTAAAATGAAAATATTAAAACATATGTGGGCCGAATCATAAATAATGAAAGTTTTTAAAATTTGAAATTTCTCAAAACAAGCCCCACTATTAACCTCACTCAATCGAAATTCATTAGGGCAAAAAGCGATATCTTGAACCAAAGGGAGATGCGATTTTTTCCTATCGAACACCTGCAAATTTGCACCCTAAATCAATTTCTTGAACCCGAAATCGAATATAGTCGCGATTTCCAGCGATATAGTCACGATTTCCGATCGATTTGTTGAACCCTAAAATCAATTTCCGTAACCCTAAATGGAATCTGTGCGATTTCCGGCGATACAGTCCACATTTCCGATCGAAACTGCAAACTTTGACACCAAATTCAATCCAAAACCATGGTTGACACTCACAATGAGGAGGAAAACCCAACGCCACTTCGAATCCTAGATTCCGGTGACGCAAGCAGTTCAATGGCTGCTCTAGTGGATCATCTGACCAGTGAAGGTGGTCCACACGCAGAGGAGACATTGGCAGCATAAGAACAGAGGGAAGAACCGGCAAACGGTTTTGAAGACGGGGAGTTAGGCAAGAATTCAAGCTAGGAGGAGGATATCGGCGAGAATTCAGACCAAGAGGAGTCGTCCGAGGATTCAAGCAACGAAGAGGAGGCCGGCGAAGAAAAGGTACGTTGTTTGGGAATATTGCTTGTACTGTCGCTTAAGCGATTATTTTGTTTTACTCATGATTGCACTCATGATCGCTTAAGCGATACAAAGGATCGCTTAAGCAATCTTAGATTTGGGCAAAATCAGATCGCTTAAGCGATCATGAGTGTTTACTCTTGGTCGCTTAAGAGATTTCAGATTGCTTAAGCAATCTTGTCGAGGCAGAATCACAGATATAATAAGCGATCTTTTGTATCGCTTAAGAGATTCTCAGTTTACTCTTGGTCGCTTAAGCGATTTCAAATTGCTTAAGCGATCTTCCACGAGGCAGAGTCAAGATCTCTTAAGCGATCCGAAATCACTTAAACGACTACAGTGGTAATTTTTTGTTGCTGATATTTTGTTTATTAGTTGTTTTGGTTTATTTTTGTTGCTGATATTTTGTTTATATCGATTGTGTAGATTGTGTAGACTGTAAACTGTAGAGACTACGAGTTGGAGCCTATAAGTGAGAAGATACCCTACTTCCCTACAAGGGTGATGGTGAGGTCGAGTTGGGAGGTGTTTGACAGAATAAGGGCCATTGTAGCTGGAATGAGGCATGGTGAAAGAGATTTCGATCGCACTTGTTTCGGTCAGTTTTTAAGAATCGGAACAAATTGGAAAAAGGCATTTTGGGGGCAGGGAGTGCATTACATGTTGATGCACTCAGTAAAAATGCAACAAAAAAAATGAAATGTGGTTCGTGATGGACGGAAAGCCACTATAGTTTGGGATGATGGAGTATGCCTTGGTGACGGGCTTAGGATGCAGGGAAGTGCCAAATAAGGCGGAGGTATATGCAATAAGGATGAGTCCGGGAGCCATAAGGTTTAGTAATAAGGTTTTGCAGGGGGCAAAGTCTATTATAGTTGATTTTTATTTCTTTTCAAGTCTAAATATGTTTTTCTTCTTCTCTATTTATTTCTTTGTTCTTAGGATGGAGTAAATCTCTTTTGTTAGGGGAGGATGAAACCCTAATTTGAACAATTTTTATTCTTAATACCAATTTCTGTTCATGAATTTGTGCAAGAGTTTAGGTTTAATGCTTTATGAATGTTGGATTGATTCAATTACCTTAATGATGTTTCGAAAAGAGAAGTTAGGGTTTATTGCTTAATTCATAGTCATAATTGTTTTATTGGAATAACATTGCACAGCATATTAGAACTAGAAGTAATCAAATAGAGATTCTAGGATTAATTTGTGGTCCATCTAATTCATAATCGAATAAGGCGAATTAGTCGTAAGGGATTGATGAATTTATGCTTCTTAATTTCAGAGTAACCGAATAGGGATCTGTATTAAGTTGAATAATATGCCTGAATAAGGATAATTGGCCTTAGAAGAATCCTACCAATTCATAGCACAAACGGGTACTAAGAGTAGTTGTCAAGCACAATTAGGGGGAAATATGTACCCTAACTTCATTAATACTGCAAAGTTCTTCACATTGTTTATTTGTTTAATTTAGTTATTTTTAATCCGTTACTTTTACACTCTAAGATTTCATTTTCTCAAATAACGTGTAAGTAGTTTTAAGTAATTACAAATATTCACTTTGATCTCTGTGGGACGATACTCAAACTCATCACTTTATTATTTGAACATGACTAGTGCACTTGCTAAGGTTGATTTAGTCGCATCACTGGTCATTTAAGTTGACAAAACTCGTGACAATACATCCGGATTCAATCTTCTATTGGATAAAATGACAATCAACCTCTATATGTTTTGTTCTTTCATGAAAGACTGGATTTGAGGCAATATGCAGAGCAGCTTGATTGTCGCATATTAGTTTCATTTGCTTCACTTCACTACACCCAAATTCTTGAAGAAGTTGTTTCAACCAGATGAGCTCACAAGTCGCGAGAGCCATAGCCTGATATTCTACCTCTACACTTGATCTAGCTACTACATCTTGCTTTTTACTCTTCCAAGATATTAGATTACCTCCAATCATGATACGGTATCCAGAAATAGATCGTCTATCTAATGGAGACCCTACCCAATCAGCATCAGAATGCCCAACAATTTGAGAATGACCCCTATTTTCATATAGCAAGCCTTGTCTTAGAGCTCCTTTAATATACTTGAGAAGGTGAACTGTTGCGTCCCAATGGCCACTACATGGGGCCTGGAGAAATTGGCTAACCACACTAACTATAAAAAGAGATATCTGATCTGGTGATCATGAGATAATTCAGCTTACCAACCAATTTTTGATACCTTCCAGGGTCTTCTAATGGCTCCCCTTGTCCAGGAACAAGTTTGACATTGGGATCCATAAGAGAATCTACAGGCTTACAGTCTAACATACATGTCTCCTCAAGAATGTCCAAGGCATACTTCCTTTGTGATATAGCAACACCAGCCTTAGACTGTGCTACCTCAATCCCTAGAAAATACTTTATCTTCCCCAAGTCCTTGGTTTGAAAAGGCTAAACAGATGTTGCTTCAGTTGAGAAATCCTATCTTGGTCATTACCTGTTATGACAATGTCATCAACATAGACAACCAAGTATATAAATTTACCATGATCAAAGGCGAAAAAATAATGAATGATTAGTTGTACTTCACGACATCCCAAACTGTTGAATCATAGAACTGAACCATTCAAACCATGCTATAGGTGACTACTTTAGACCATATAAAGATCGACATAGACGACACACCAATCCTGACTCCCCTTGAGCGACAAACACTGGTGGTTGCTCCATATACATTTCCTCGGTAAGTTACCATGCAAGAAGGCACTTTTGATATCCAACTGATGAAGAGGCCATTGATACATGGCTGCTAAAAAGATAAGGAGGTGTACCGAAGTAATCTTAGCAACAGAAGAGAAGGTATCACTATAGTGAAGCCCATAGATCTAAGTGTACCCCTTTGCAACAAGGCGAGCCTTCGGCTGATCAACTTTGTCATCAGGACCAATCTTAACAGTGTAAACCCAATGACACCCAACAACAGTCTTGCCTGGCAGTAAGGAAACCAACTTCCAAGTACCATTATGATCAAGAGCAGTCATCTCCTCAGTCATGGTAGCTCTCCACCCTAGATGTGCCATTGTCTCGCTAACAGTGTTGGGTATAGGGATAGAAGACAAGTTTGAAATAAAGGCATAATAAAATGGAGATAAACAATCATAACTAAGAAAATTATAAATAGGATGTGGGTTTCGAGAAGATCGAATACCTTTGCGAAGGACAAGTGGAGAAGTTACTTCGTCTACAGGAGACATGACCGGAGCAGGCGATGGAGGAATAGGAGATGGGTCATCGGGATTGATTGAGGTACCTGTATCAAGAAGGAAAGTACCATTGGGATTAGTAGGAGGACGAGGATGACGAGAATAAACTTGGAGAGGAGGACGATCCATCGACGAGGAAGGAAGGATGGAGATAGGTAAGGTGGCAAGGATAAGATTGCTATTGACGGTGTTTTCAGAAAAGTATGGAGATGTCTCAAAGAAAGTTACATCTGCAGAAACAAAATATTTGTTGGTGGCTGGGTCATAGCAACGGTAACCTTTCTGGAGACAAGAATATCCTAAGAAGATACACTTAACAGATTTAGGTTGTAATTTGTCTTTGCCTGGAGTGTGATCGTGAACAAAGCAAATGCAACCAAACACCCGTAAATGTATTAGTTATGGTCTTTACTAGGAAACAGAATGAAGTGAGGAATCTTATGTTGTAAGATAGAAGAAGGCATACGGTTAATCAAGTAACAGGCGGTGAGAACTACATTCCCCCAAAATCGAAGAGGAACATGATGATGTATAAGTAAGGTATGCACTGTTTCAATAAGATGAAGATTTTGTGTCCGGTGACCCCATTCTGCTGAGGAGTATAGGCACATGAGGTCTGGTGAATAATACCCTAAGAAGACATATACTTAGTAAAGGAAGAATATAGATATTCCCTAGCATTATCACTATGCAAAATCTTAATAGAAACACCAAATTGATAATGAATCTCAGCACAAAAATTTTGAAAGGTAGAAAAAAACTCAGAACGAGTTTTCATTAAAAATACCTAAGTATAATGAGAACAGTCATCTATAAAAGTAATAAAATAATAGAAACCCAAAGTTGAACTGACACGACTAGGACCTCAAATGTCTATGTGAACAATATCAAAATTGCAGGTTCTGTATGATTGGATGTATTATATATACTTGAATACTTAACTGTGTAGTTTCTTCCTTTCAGCATGCATCAGATTACTTAACTTAGCAGATGAAGAATACAGATGGTTTGCTGCATTTGTATGCTTATTGGGCTCATTTGGAGCTAAATTTGGTTGCAGCTCTAGGTGTTTGGGAGAGCCTGGTTAAGATCTAGTTTGGCCAATTCATCATTTTCTCTTTCTTATCATGTATAGTTCAATATGATTGATTTATGATTCATCTTTGTATTTTTTCCATATAACTTGCTTTTTGTCTGTGTAGCGGGTTAACGTTGGAAGCCTGGCAAGGTTATATAGCTATGGAAATTGATTTGGGACATTCCAACGAAGCTAGGTCTATCTCTAGGAGATGCTACAGTAAAAGATTTAGTGGGACAGCTTCAGAGGTATAATTCTTTTACATTACTTGCTTTTAATTATACTAGATTGATTTATGGACAAAATTTGAATTTGAATGTTTCTAAACTGGTTTTTTCCTAATTTTTTCTTCTTTTTTTGAAAATTGTTGCTTTTAGTAGTATACGATGCAGCTTTATTTAATCAATTGATATTTTTCATCTGCAATGCAAACATTTCTTTCTTTATTCTTTTTTTACAGCTGATGGAAGTTGAAACCAGACAAATGGCTTAAGTCAAGGTTGTTAAAATGTTGTTTATCAAGTTGGGCAATTTATGGAGATCTTTTGAACTCTTAATATAGAATCATGCTCTTCAGTTGAGAATATATTTGGAGAGTAGCCTTGCAATAGGTCAAACTATTACTTGGGCACCAGAATCATAATTGTTTAATATGTAATTTTGAATAATTTTTCCAAATCATACATAAATGATATATGACAGTATCTCTAGGGGTCGTGCTAGTTGAAAATCCATGACGTTTATTTTTTTAACTTTAAACTTTGGAGTTACTGATACTCTGATGAAATTATGACATATATGAAGTAGTCACATTTAAACCATAGGTAGTGGAGTAGTTTTTGAAACACAATAGGCTGATATAAGAGTAGACTAGGACACCTTAGCTTTCCTTATTTACTAAAAATGTACCCATTGTTATTCAGAAATAAAAGTTTATTTTCTTTTAAGTGTGAAACTTGTCAACTTGCAAAATACACCAAGTCTATCTATCTAGCTCATAAATATAAGAGTTCTAGGCTTTTTTAATCATTCATAGTGATATTTGGGGGCCATCTAGATTACAAATATTGTACGGTCTAAGTGGTTCATTACGTTTATTGATGATCACACTAGAGTATGTTGGGTATACTTGATGAAAAACAAGTTTGAAGCAGGTCAATTGTTCAAAAACTTTCATTCAATGGTTGAAACTCCATTTCAAGAAAAAATCTAAGTTTTGCAAACTGATAATGGTAAGGAATATTTTCACTCTATCCTAGGAAACTACCTGTTACAACACGGGATTGTACATCAAAGCTCTTGTGTTAATACCCCTCAACAAAATGGGATAGTTGAAAGAAAGAATAGGCACCTATTAGAGGTAGCTAGAGTCTTAATGTTTACCATGAATGTATCTCAATATTTTTGGAGTCATGCAATTTTAATAGCTGCATATTTGATAAATAGATTACCTATTAGAATTCTTGATTTTCATACACCTCTTGAGACATTGCTAAAGATCTTTCCTAGTTGTAGGATCCTAAATACTTTACCCTTAAAGGTGTTTGGATGTACTGCTTTTATACATGTTATGTCTCCTAATAGAGAAAAGCTAGACTCTAGGGCCATTAAATGTATCTTGCTTGGATATTCTCCCACACAGAAAGACTATTAGTGTTATTGTCCTATAAAGAGAAAATTATATGTCTCTAGTGATGTTGCATTTTTTGAGTCACATCCATTCTTTCCCACTTCCCTTCAGGGGAGAATTTGAGAGATTGTGAAGGCCATTCGTGGGAAGTAGTGTTACCCTTACAACCACACTTGAGTCAGTCTCAGTAGTATCCCAATCCAAGTCAAAGTTCAAAGTCACCTAGTTTCCTATAGGTCATCCTAGTCCTATAAGAATGAGTCAGTCTCCTAGTTAGCCTAATTCAGGTTAGGTTCCTATAGGTCAGCCTAGTCCCATAAGGATGAGTCAGTCTCGTAGTCAGCCTACCAATTTACGTCCTACTCTAACTATATAGCCCACTCTTGGTAAACCAAACTCTTAGGAAAGATTGAAACTAGGGGGAAGTTTGGAGAGATTAAATCAGTCGGGTCTCCAATGTTATTCTCGAAGAACTGACTATCAAAGTGGAAGGAAACCTAATGATCTACATGAGCAATCATCCCAACTAGAAGAAACCATTGATTCAGTCACAAGGTAAGGAAGAACTATCTTTCGATGAGTCTAAATCAGGGCATGATGATTTACATTTACCTATTGCATTAAGAAAGGGTGTTAGATCTTATATGTTGCATCCTATTGCTAAGTATGTGGCATACGATAAGTTGGTAGGTGATTTTTTGGCATTCACCACTAATCTCTTAGCTGTGAAGGTTCCAACATCGGTACATCAGGCATTAGGGGATGAAAACTGGAGGAAGACTATGATAAAGGACATAGAGGCTCTTGAGAAAAAACAAGACTTGGGAGCTAATGAGTTTACCTAGAGGGAAAACAACTGTGAGCTGCAAGTGGGTGTTTACTATTAAGTATAAGGAAGATGGAACAGTTCAAGGGTATAGGCAAGGCTAGCGGCAAGGGGATTTATGCAAACTATGGAGTAGGCTATGAGGTGACCTTTGCTCCGGTGGCTAAGTTGAATACTATTAGGGTGCTCATCTCTTGCAACAAATCTAGACTGGCCTCTACAACAACTAGATGTGAAAAAACGCTTTTTTGAATGGTGAACTTGTAAAAGAGGTATACATGGAAATGTCACTAGGGTTTGAAGGAAGTGGAAATGACGGAAAAGTGTGCAAATTTAAGAAATCATTATATGGCCTAAAACAGTCTCCACAGGCCTGGTTTGAAAAATTCATAACTGATCATACATTATTCTTTGAAACCTTTGTAGGTAAGATTACTATGAGGTTCAAATCTCGGGAGAGCTTGAAATCAAAAGTACAGAGCCTATGAGGTTGTATTATGAAAACAAGTTTGCGATTGGGATAACACACAATCTAGTGCATCATGATAGGACCAAGCATATTGAAATAGAAAGACCTTTCATCAAAAAGAAGATAGAAGATGAGTTGTTATGTGTTACCTACTTGCCTGCAAGTCAACAGACAACATATATTCTTACAAAAGGACTACTTAGACAGTTGTTTGTTAATCTAGTTTCCAAGCTAGGAATGATAAATATCTATTCACCAGCTTGAGGGGGAGTGTAGGATTTCTAGATTAGAATATGATCAATTTAAGAGTTATCTAAGTCTTATATAGTTTAAGAGATTGAATAAAAAGATTATCAGGGTTTGTTTTCTACTGATTTCATGTTTAAATCTCTATATATGAGATTTGGGCTAGTTTGGTTTGTAATTCAAAAATAATTTTGAAAAACTAAGTTACAATTAAAAATTTTAAAGTTTTATCTCTAAATTTTAAATATATGAAAATATATTTTGTATTTCAAATCTCTTTATGAGATTTGGGCCAGTTTGGTTTGTGATTCAAAAATAATTTTAAAAAACTAAGTTACAATTAAAAATTTTAAAAGCTTTATCTCAATATTTTAAATATTTGAAAATATATATGGTATTAAAAATTGTATTTGAAGCTAAAAACTATATAGAGACTGAGAAATGATATTTTTCTTGTTTTCTAATTTTACACTAATTTTTAGGATTATATGCAAAAACATTCTTTTGAAAACATTTCAACTTATTTTAATAAAAACGTATTTTCATAAAATTCCTTATATTCCTTGTTTTCGAAAATAAAACATTATTTAAAATTTATAAAAAAAATAGGCTCTTACTTAGATTATAAACTTGTATATGTATTTATGTTATATTTATGGTTGTGATTGTGGCTGTTCAGCGCACGAGATTGTGTTAAATTTTAAGTATGGTCGTTGAACGCTTAACTATCAATTTAAGCTTTTAAGTCAAGTTGTTACGTAATATTGTTAAAGATGTTATTGAATTATGTTACATCTGCTTGGTAATTATTGAATGTATGCAATCATTGCTATTTTAACTCAATGCGTAAAGATGCTTATCTTTGTTCCCTTTCTCAGGT